AGATTTCATTAGCAGATACAAAAGTGACGTTATTTGCACAAATGATAATGCGAGCCATCACTAAGAAATCCAAAATGAAATTTACAATAATTCTTGATAGCGAGATGCAAATAGTATGATCTAATTAAGTTTTTCGGAGTCGATTCTCTTGCATAAATTTTGTTTTTATACCAAGTACTTTTGCCAATCAATCAGTTAGCATGTATGAAAATTCTATGAGTATGATATTTTTTTCATATTTCTAGTTACTAAACAATTTGAATTTTTTAATGATATCAATTAAAACATGTTTTGCTTCGGACAATTATAATTTTTATATATACGAATGAAGAAATTCATCTGGCCAACGGACGGGCCCAAATCTAGCAGTAGAACTTGTCGTTCAGGTTCCATCTACGAAATGAAAGCCTCCAAATAGAATGTCATTAAGAGCTGATCAAACTCTGGGTTAGCTAAGATATATACTCGATATACATGTGTGGGTAAGGTAGAACGACAAATTGTAGATGATCGATGATTCCACATCATCGAGAAGAAAATGCAAACTGAATAAGGCTTTAAGCCATGAAGGGCCCATGCATCAAGAAGCGTGATTGGAATCATGTCCTTAACATGATTCTCCAAAGCCAGAGTGTCATCAACCTCCAAGCGCACAACCTCCTATGACGACCCGGTAACAGCTACTGGAAGACCCTGCAGGCGTGACCTCTTCCATAACCAATTCTAGCAGTTGGTAAGTCTAATCTGATTCCATGTCTCATGTTATTGAAAGATGCTTGGAACCGTATGTGATGGTTTCCTAATACTCACTTGGCATATGCCAATTATATTATTGGTAAAGTACCATGGAGTTGTATATAAAAGTACTTACAGTTATCCGAGTCCCGGGAAGTTAGTAGCTACTTTTGGAGGGGAATTAAGATGTTTGGGAAGAGATCAAATAAATAGAAGTTCTGAGAAGTACCCATTTGATAGAAGCTTGTGGATTGGATAACCATGAGGTGGTGTACTGGAGTTAGTGTGACAAAAAAATTATTTTCATAATTATATAAGGGTGGTATTGCATTCCAAATTAAAACTATATTTATTTTGTAGAAATTTTTCGGTGACAGAAACTAATATTCTCTGCCGGAGCATCAGCAAATTCCTTTGTTATACAACTTGCTCATATAAATGTACTAAAAATGAAGTACATGTGTTTTTCTTTTTGCTATTGCTGAGTCGCTTTTGGGGGCTCGCCCTTTAACCTTGAAGTTGTGAGTTTAGAGAGGCAGTTAATCTGTATCAGGTTGGCTAGGAAGTGAGCTTTGCACTGTGCTTTTTTTCCTTGGCACCTCAAGACAGACTTATACGGAACTTGTTGGCTGCCTGTGTTTGTGAGGCCGACATTTGTCAGGCATTTCATTTTCTTTCTTTTGTTTATGTATCTTTAATATTAATATTAATATTAGTATTAATAATATGGAGATAGATATTAATATTAATATTAGTATTAATAATATGATGTCACCATTCTAAAAAAAGAAGTAAATGCGTCTTTTGTTCATTGTAACTCTTGGTCTTTTCTTTCTTCAACATAAAAGCAAGGACTTTGTTGCCACCAGAGAGATCCGTCCTTCGGCCTGTGGAATAGTCATTCAGGCTTGGGATCGTTGATGGTGTCGGCCTTAATTACCCACGGTTGGAGGTGGAGTTTCGTGATTGTTTGAGGATTGATGATAGCAGGTGGGTGATGAGACTCTGGCCTTGGAGGATCATGTTGAGGACATGATTCCAGTCGGGTTTCTTTATTCATTGGGTCTTCTTGGCGTGAAGTCATATGCAACTAGAATTTTCTTCTCGAGGATGGTAGGATCATCACTCATCTACTGGTTTCCATTCTACAAAACCTACACAGGTAAGGAAACCCATATTTTTGCCTTTAGTTTGATTTGGTTTCCTTCTAAATTGTGCATTTTCCTTGTTTCTTATACAGAGAACTATAGGAATAGTGCTATAGAGAACTTTGGGTAATATGTTGTAAGGAAATGGAGGAATGTGGTTATAGGGAGCTGTAAATTACATAACTTTCATGCCTTATTTGGTTTGGAATAAGGTTGTATGGAACTGTAGGAATAGAGTTGTAAATGGCAAGATGCTTCATTGCCTTTATGTTTGGTTTCAATATCTCATTGGCTGATCAGACTTGAGAATTTGCAGTCATAGGTGGGAAGTTTATGTCTACAAGTTTCGCAGGTAACCTTACCATCTTGATTGGCGTGGGAGGAATCTATGGTGGGATGCATCTCGGTTGCTTGGTTGATCAGATAGAAGCACCTACCATCACAACAACAACCTTCACCATGTTATTGATCTCTGAAGTATGGAACATTTGGTGAAACTTCAGAAGCTATAATTAACATATTACTAATGGTATATGTAATTAGTGGTGGTGCTGCACTTATCACCACTGTAGTTTCAGCAGATTAACCACGGGGAACTTTCCTGATGCCAGGCGTCTGACCCACCGAACTAGAAGGCTAAGAGGATGAATGAGCAGTGGTGTGTCCCACCCAGCCATAATAGACCAGCTAACCAATTCTATCTTCTTCTCATTTCTATTAGGTAACATAAGTTGCACCAATTTCTCAACAACATCAAAATCCAAAAGACCACCTTTGTCTTTCAATTTACTAATCTCTAATTTTGAGGCGTTCTCCGCTCTTGAGTTAGTAGAAACACCATCTTCCAACATTTCAAAACGCTCTCATTTAAGAGGTTACTGAATACCCTTGTTGACATGGCACATAATATCCCAACAGGAATCCTTATAGGTCTCCTTGGAGAGCCCCAACTTTATCATCCTTGTAATCGCTGCGAAGGATATGTTTCAAAATCACCTTGGTCTAAAATCCATGTAAAATTCGACTAAATTCAATTCATTTCAATCCAATCCGTTTAATTCAAATCAAATTGGATTAGTGGATTGGATTCATGGATATTTGATCATTCTATAATGATTGCATCCAAATGCGAAATTGAAGGAGAGATCCCTGCAAAATAGTACAACAAAATAGCTCATACATGGAAATACAAAAATCTATCAAAAGATGTAGATTTTTGTTGAGCACTTAAGGTATAATTAGAATTATCAAATACAACAACAAAATCTATTGTTGAAATATAGTTTACTATCAATTACGAACAGTTGTATAAAACGAATATAAGTGAAACAAGTTCGTATAGCCGAAATTGACTTAAATGCAAACGAACATATATGACATACCTCTCAAATAATGGCAATAGCATTGATAAAATAAACAGGGACTTCACCATATTCCTTGGACGGGGTTTGCATTAGACCGACCAGACAGGCAAATCTTGCTATGCTTTCCCAATGAGAGTGGAGGTTTCTCAAGGAGAAAGATACACTCTGGACACAGCTGATGTACTCGAAGTATGGCCGTCAAAGGGAGCACCTAGACATCTTCCAACTTATTCTGGGTAGTTCCTTCACCTAGAGTAGATTTTCGAAAGTCGCCAACCCTGTAAATAATTACTTCTTAGATCTTCCAATTGTGGTTGCCACTCCTAAATATTTCTCATGTTTTTCTACTATCGTCATCCCCATTGTTCCAACCACGATCAACTTATTATGAGGAGACACCTTCTTGCTTAAAGATACTCCACACTTATGAAAACGGACCAGTTTCCTAGATTCTTGTTCATAGTCTGCCAATATTCCTTTTAGCGTGTCACATTCTTGTGGAGTTGCCCGACCGAAGAAGATATTATCATCTCCAAAGAAAAGATTAGATATTTATGGCGCTCCTATAGAAAGACATAGACCATGTAGTCGTTTTTCTTGAAATAATTTCTCTGTATATACTGACAGTCCATTCACACATAGAAGGAATAGATATGGTGAGAGAGGACCACCGTGTCGAATCCCTCTTCTCGGGGAAAATTGTTGAGACTGATGGCCATAAACCAGGATAGAGTAAGTAACCGATCTCACACACAACATAAATCGTTCGATCCACGTTTCATAAATGCCTATCGTTCTCATTACCCCCTCCAGGAATCTCTATTCAACCCGATCATACGCCTTCGCCATATCGATCTTTGCTGAAAAGTAGTCAACCTTCCCTTTTGATTTCTTCTTCATCGTGTGAAAGCACTCAAAAGCCGTCATTATATTGTCTTTTTCTGTGATAAACCTTCCAGAAAGAAAAGCACTATGCACCGGCGGGAGAGATTTGCAACAACAGGGTGTGGAGGGAGGCTGAGGATGGCGGAGACGACGATGGTGGAAGGCTCGACAGGCGGCTGCAGGAGACAGGGGTGTCGACGCCGACGGTGGAGGGCTGTGGCGGCGGAGGGCTCTACGAGAGAGAGGGCGGAGGGCTCTGCGAGAGAGAGGGAGGAGAGACGGTGATGGCTACGGGAGAGAGGGAGGAGAAAGAGAGAGGGAGGATGGAGGAGTTAGGATTTTTTTTTCTTTTTATATGGTAGGGTGAATGATTGGGTGTAGTAAATTTTTACCCTTCCAAAAATACTCTTCCTTTAATCTTAACCGTTAAGTTAAAAAAAGAAGAAAGAGCCAACAGAGAGAGCGTATCCAAGGGCTATGAAGTGGGTTGTGAATCTGACAACCCCCTTAAGGGGTTGTCACCGTATTCGTCCCCGATCTTTTTTTCTTTGGTCAAAGAGCAAAAACACACAATTTCTCACTCTGCCTCCTAACCGAACAACAACCCATCTTTGCTCTGCCTCCAACCTAAAAAACAGAGCAACCTAACAATAACGATCAATCAACTCACCATCATCTCCATTAACAAGTATATATCACACTTACACACAAACCCTGCAAACACAATCAAGCAAAACAGAGCATAGAAGGAGGCTCCAATTCCATAGCCAAAAGATGGAAGGAGCTAAGCGGGGAAACCAACAACTGGTCCAACTTTCTCGACCCTCTCGACGCCGACCTCCGCCGCTACCTCATCCACAACGGCGAGATGGCGCAGGCCACCTTCGACGCCTTCAACTCCGAGCCCAAGTCGCCCTACGCAGCGGACTGTCGCTACTCCATGGAGAATCTCTTCGCCAAGGTCGGCCTCCCCGCCGCCGCCTCCAACTACCGGCCGGTGAAGAACTTGTACGCCACGTCACGAATTCCAATCCCCGGTTGCTTCCTTCTCAAGTCACTGTCGAGGGAGGCCTGGGACAGGGAATCCAATTGGATGGGGTTTGTTGCGGTGGCGACGGACGAGGGGAAGGCGGCGTTGGGGCGGAGGGACATTCTTGTTGCGCGGAGAGGCACGGTTCAGGGGCTTGAGTGGGTTTAGGATTTCGATTTTCCTCTGGTTTCGGCGGCGGATGTATTTGGGGAAGAATGTGGAGCTAGGGTTCATAGAGGGTGGCACTCGATCTATACGTCGGATGATCCCTAGTCGCCGTTTAATTAGTACGTACGGTCGTAGGTGTGATGGGTCATTGTAAATAGATTTACGTAATTAGGATTACGTATAAGGATTAGTCACATGTATAATGTAACAACGGTATTAGTCCAGTTTATCGAATAATAAACCTTAAAAGTCTTTTGACGCATTACGTCATTCTCTCACTTGTAAGTTACAAGCAAAATCCTTAAACTCGTGGGTTACGAGTTCATCACAGAATTAATACATTGGATGCATATGTTCATGCATGCATATAATATGAAAGGAAATGAGTTTCTATACATGCGAATGGAGCCTCTGACTGTCTCCAAACATGGTCTTATTGTCTATCAATGGCACGTGTGGTACTAGTTTATAGACACGAGAAGTGTGATACATGGCTCTAAAGGTTCCACCTCTTAAAGCAGTTTAGTTTAGTTCACTTTGGGGTTTCACCTGTAGAGGTGGTAGGAGCCCTTCACGAGCTATCGAGGTACCTGAGATCTGCCATCTAACCCAAGAAACCTCGAGGCAAGTTGCAAACATGTAGCAGATTAAGAGATCTGCCATCTTTCTCAATTCTATCTCTGCGTACAAGCTCTCTCTAGCGGTTTTCAAGCCAGTAGTTGGCCACTGATGTTGGGTGTCATTGGCAACTGGTTCCCGGAGCAGAGAGGTATGACCTTCGGCGTGTGGAATAGTCTTTCGGACTTGGGATCAATCCTGGAATCCTTGATGATGGCGATTATGGCCGCCACAATTAACGATCCCAGGATTGATCCTAGGACCGAATGACTACTCCACACACCGAAAGTCAGACCTCTCTGTTGCGTGAACCAGTTGCTAACGATAACCACCACTGGTGGACAACCGCTAACAAACAAGAAGTGCACAAGGAAGTTCCCACCATCAACAACCCTAATGGAATCATGTCCTCAACATGATTCTCCAAAGCCAGAGTCTTATACACCCATACAATTTGTTTTCATTCCTATATTTGGTTGTCAAATCGCATCATCCAAATAACCGATTGTGGGTTCACATCCTTTAGCCTCAATAACCTCCTGAAGTTAATTTCAGCCATTATATCAATCTTCACTAGTTAATGGGTAGTTCCAGTAAAAAAAAAGGTAGTTGGCGTTTTTAGGTAGTTAGGGGTAGTAATGGTATTTCGTTAGTAAAATCAAATAGCAGTTTACCATATGTAATTACTTACAAATTTAATTATTAATAATCCAACCAATTTTTCTTCCAAACATTGCCGATTGTTAAAAACATGTCGATATATACAAGGGTGGCTGATTGGCCAAATAAACGTTAATACCATGCCCCAATTAGTGTTAATAACATTCACGGTTATAAATAATGGTTCAACTCCTATGATTGTGTTACGATTATTAACAACTAAGGATGGGCACGTGGGTGGTTAATTCGCAGATTGATATCGATCCACCCACAAATAACCTGACCTGCATGCAGTGTGTGATTGATGTGGGCGGATTACAGATTCCCACCGTGAATGAACTGCTCTTGCAAATCAAGTTGCCATCTGCAAATCGCCTCATCCAAACGACCATTTAATTAATAAAGCAAATGAATCATTACTTGTCGTACAAATCACGAGTTAAAAGGTCAGATAAACGAACAACAACCGATCTTTAAATTTCCCCCTTTCTTTGGCCAAAGACCAAAACCAAAAACACACACAATTTCACTCTGCCTCCTAACCGAACAACAACCCATCTTTCCTCTGCCTCCAGCCTAAAAAACAGAGCAACCCAACAACAATCAATCAACTCACCATCATCTCCATTAATAAGCATCAAACTTCACACACAACCCTGCAACACACAACCAAAAAAAAGATGGAAGGAGGCTCCAATTCCATAGCCAAAAGATGGAAGGAGCTAAGCGGGGAAACCAACAACTGGTCCAACCTCCTCGACCCTCTCGACGCCGACCTCCGCCGCTACCTCATCCACTACGGCGAGATGGCTCAGGCCACCTTCGACGCCTTCAACTCCGAGCCCAAGTCGCCCTACGCAGGGGACTGCCGCTACTCCATGGAGAATCTCTTCGCCAAGGTCGGCCTCCCCGCCGCCGCCTCCAACTACCGGCCGGTGAAGTACTTGTACGCCACGTCACGAATTCCGATCCCCGGTTGCTTCCTTCTCAAGTCACTGTCGAGGGAGGCCTGGGACAGGGAATCCAACTGGATGGGGTTTGTTGCGGTGGCGACCGACGAGGGGAAGGCGGCGTTGGGGCGGAGGGACATTCTTGTTGCGTGGCGGGGGACGGTGCAGGGGCTTGAGTGGGTTGAGGATTTCGATTTCCCTCTGGTTTCGGCGGCGGATGTATTTGGGGAAGAATGTGGAGCTAGGGTTCATAGAGGATGGCACTCGATCTACACGTCGGATGATCCCAAGTCGCCGTTTAATAAAACCAGCGCCAGGAATCAGGTAAAAAGGTTAAAAAAAAGTACCATTTTCTTACCCTCCCCCTGCTCCATTGACATTGAACAAGAAGCGTGCTAATTATTGCATTTTCTACCCCCTAATTAGTGCATTTCTGTGTTCATTCACGCTATTTAGTGATGCACGTAATTCGGTGTGTATTTATGTGAGAATTATGACTGGAAAATTCCGAATTTTTGTCGATTTTTTTTCCGAATTTAGTTTGGATTTTCGATTTTTCGGTAAAATAAGTTGTATTGATCATAATCTACACAAAAGATATCCATTTTGATATAATTTGAAATTCAATGATTAATTTCACAAGCGGTGTGGATAAGCAACGTTCAATATGGCCATGCAATGAATGGTGAAGTCCTATTCCGATATTGAAATATTGTTCAAATTGACTTTTAAATATACTAAAATGATCGTAGTCTTGTTATTTAAGATGTAAATTTCTTGCTAGCATCGTTTAAAATAAAATGATCTATCCGCTCTGTAATTTTCGCATTTTCCAAGGGATCATTTTTAGTCGTAGCCGTCATAACTAATCCAGTAAGACTTTCTTATGTTATTTTTTAAACGAATAGTTGTTTCGGCTCCCAAACACAAATTTAAAACGTGCCTTGTGTAGATATATACTTCAATTAATCTTATACAGGACATCACAAATACAACCTATAATATATTATCAAATTAACTAATAAATCTAAGTGTAGGCCCCCTAAAATTCGGTAGTCATGTGTCAGACGACCTTAGCACACCCACCCCAAATAACAATATACGTGAATGAACACCATGTCGGTGGAATAAAGATTACTATTTGCGTGAATAAACAAAATAAATATGTGTTGTAACTTGTAACTCTTTCAGTGCCACCAAACCAAACCCTTCTTCCAAATTGATATAATCTTTTTGGTTATGGTTCGGCCAGGTTATCACCGAAGTGAAGAGACTAGTCGAGAAGTACAAGAACGAAGAGATCAGCATCACAATAACAGGGCACAGCCTTGGCGGAGCATTATCCGCTCTGAACGCGGCAGACATTGTAGCAAACGGCCACAACAAGAGCAGTATGGTCACCGCGTTCGTCTACGGCAGCCCTAGAGTCGGAGACGCCAACTTCCGCGACATGTTCCATTCGCTGGAGAATCTACACCTGCTGAGAATCAGGAACGCGCCGGACATAATCCCGATCTACCCGCTGCTGGCCGGATACGCCGATGTGGGAGTGGAGCTGGCGATGGACACCCTGAAGTCGAGCTACCTGAGGTTGACGGAAGGAGGGTTCGTGACGTGGCACAACTTGGAGGTGTATCTGCACGGAGTTGCCGGGGTGCAAGGTGGAGACGAAAGTGGGTTCCGGCTGGAAGTCCGGCGGGACCTGGCGCTGGTGAACAAGAGGACGGATGCGTTGAAGGAGGAGTTCTTGGTGCCGGGGAACTGGTGGTGCGCGAGGCATAAGGGGATGGTGCAGCAGAGTGATGGGTCGTGGAAGCTCGATGGGCGTGAGTAGTCGGGGTGGGAAATCGGTACGATATTGGTGTACTGATACCAAATACCGAATTACATACTAAAATCAATCTCACTCCAATATAAATTCCCTATCTCAATCTCAAAATGTTTCTGTATGTATCTCAATGGGTCGTGGAAAGATGAAGCGGTGGAGTATAAAACTAGAGGAATAAAGTGTTGCGCCCGAACGGAAAATCAAACAAGAAAGTAAATATAACACATAAATCTACGGGATTTACTAATATCTTGTTTATTAGCTCATTTAGAAGTAGGAGAGACTCGTTTTGCTATACACCCCATAATTTTTTGTCGATGGTAGATAATATGTGAGATGTGAGATTACGAGTCGAAAATTGGACGAGTATGATGGACAAAATGAATTTTTCAAAATATATTTCATGTGCATTTGATGTGCAATAGATTTTAGCACTCAAAATTGCAAGATAAACTAGGGGTTGATCTGAGAAGTAATTGAGGAGAATACAGGATTAGATATATATCATGACATTCCTTAATACCTTCCTTAACCTAAGTACAGGAGCTAGTTATATCCCCCAAATGACCCACTAATTCACTCTCACTTTGTCTATTCGTCTCTTAATCACCACAATCAACCCTAATCGACACTAAACAGAAGCGACATTGATGACTTGAACCTTAACCAATGGCGCTCACTGAAAAGATAATATAGACATAGAAAGAAAGCAGGAATCCGAAAATTAAAGACACCCAGATTATTGATGATGATGATGATGGTGGTGATGGTGGATATTCTCAACCTTGTAACTACTACACCGCCGGCGGCGCACATGTCACAGTTCCACGACGAGCCATCTCAGTAGTAGCAGCAGTAGATGTAGATCTGGCTCCCCGGCCGCCACCACCGCCACCGCCATTTGCTCCTTCCGAATTTTCCGCCGTTTTGCAGCACCACATAAGGTGGTCAGCGAAGCAAAATCCGAAGAAGACGAAAATAATCAGTACTCCCGCGAGGTTCAGAATCTCCCAGCCCAGTTCCATCTCCAGCAGCAGCAGCAGGGGAAGAAAGGAAAAACAGAGTAAGAACAGCCAAAAAGAAGGGTGGGGAGATATGATCAGGAAATGGGCAATATTATATATATACACCAAAGCTTCAATTGAGGTTTCTATTGAGAGAAATAAGAAGAAGAAAAACTCGCTCCTCTGGGTTACCGGTGAACGCGTGAACCCTGAATCCTTTCTTCCTTCCGTCAAGCTATATTAGAGCTATGATTCCTGCAGCAAGCATTAGCCGGAAAAAGGGTAGTTTTAATTATGAAAAACAACTTGAGATTTTAATATGGAATGTAAGTTCGGGCAAGTGCAGGGCTCTCTGCAACTCTGCCTGCTGCTATTTCTGGAGTACTCTGTTTTTGGGATTGTAATTACGCGGAGGAGATTCATAATTGCGGGTTTTCGAGGGTCAAAATAAAGTGTGGAAATGGAAAACTGCAGGCTGGATTGTGGATTTATTTTGTAATGTTTACGCCGGTGAGGGAAGCGGGAGAACGAGTGAAGCCGCCGTCGCCGGGAATCAGCCCCGACGACTTCCATTTTCGCGGGAAGCTCTGACTCTGTTTTCCTTTCCACGCCGGGACCCGGGCACAAGAAAGGGCGACATATTTTAAGAGTTTTCGGTACCTTATTTGCAGGCCAGGCCCAACTCGATTTTGATAGTCTTTCGTGCCTCTTGGTAGGCCCAATTTGTTTATGGTCAGTCCAAAAAAAAAAAAAACAAAAATATCAATTTGGTAACTTAAGTAATCTATACCTATGCTTTGGTCAGTCAAAAATACGATTGTTCCAGATTATGTATGTACCCAAATTACCTTTTTCGAGTCACCAGCAGCGGCCATGTTAGAGAAGCTATAGTTTAATTTGGTTCGGTTAATTTAGATAATTGGTTTGGTTAAATTTTTTAGCTTGTTTGGTTTAGATGGTTTGGTTTGGTTTGGTTTCAGACACTCCTAACCAATCAAACCAAATTAATTAACTATATATATAATATATTATACACACATACTTAATACTTTGCATAACCACTTAAGAGTCAAATGTAAGATAATTGTATTAGTTACATGTATTTATGTTAAGGATTAACTATAATTATTTGTTGATTGTTATGTGTTATTCTTTATATAAATTGCAAATTGACGCCGTAACCGGAAATTTTTATCACCTAATAGTAATGTGGTGGTATATTAGTTTTTTTGGTTAATCAATTAACCAAACCGATTAAACTCTAGTTTAGTTAATTTGATTGTTGTATTAGTTTGGACGGTTTGGTTACGATATTGTATTCAATTGTTAATAGAATTTATTCTTATTTGGTTTGATAATTACCATTTTAACCATTTGAACTCAGTAGCAATGAGAGGTGGGTGATAATTTTAGAAGATATTTAATTGTGAAAGTAGAAAAGCCAATTTGCAGAGCTATTTCCTGTTTCTGGGGGAAAACATTAAAGCCAAGGAGTGGCTCATACGCGGAGTTCTAGTCAAATGATATACAACTATCTTTAATTATTACTAATTTAATCACCCCTACAAATTTTGTATTCGACTCCAATGTTGCATTTTTTACCAGTATTACATTCTAGTTATTCTCACCTTCCTTTTTAACTTGCTAGTGCACATGGTATCAACACATTTGGTTAGGTCTTTTGTGGTGCTCCTTGTGCGGCTCCGATCTCACCTTCGATCTTATGGTAAGGTGCCAACCTGCTATCACACGATATCAGCCATCTGTTCATGCATGCATATAATATGAAAGGAAATGAGTTTCTATACATGCGAATGCAGCCTCTGACTGTCTCCAAACATGGTTTTCCTGTCTGTCAAATGGCACGTGTGATACGTGTTCATGAATTTATCAGTTTATTACTATGAATGAATTTAGAGATATAGACATGACTTGTGTGATACATGGCTCTAAAGGTTCCACCTCTTAAAGCAGATTAGATTAGTTTAGTTCACTTCGGGGTTTCACCTGCAGAGGTGGTAGGAGCCCTTCACAAGCAATGGAGGAAAGGTGAATTCAAGGCTCTTCGATTTGGGGTTCCTCCTAATATGCTACATTGTATGCAACTTGCCTGTGGGTTTGCAACTTGCATCGCTTTTCCTTCCAAATCGATGATCCTCGAGTTCAGTTTTCCTCCACTGCTTGCCTGTGGGTTATTGTTTCAAATCCATTATTTTTCAATTCTATCTCTCCGTGCAAGCTCTCTCCGTGGGTTTTCAAGCGAGCCGTTGGCCACCGGTTGTGGCTGTCGTTGGCAACTGATTCCCGCAACAGAGAGGTCTGACCTTCGGCTTGTGGAATGGTCTTTCGGACCTAGGAGCAGTCTTGGGATCCTTGGTGGTGGTGGCCCTAATCACCCACGGGTAGGGGTAGGGGTGGGCATTGCATTGACCCAAACCGCACCGCACCGCATATTATTTGGACCACACATTAAATCGCAATTTAATTGGTGCGGTCAAACCGAACCACCTAAATAAGTGATTTGGTGCGGTTTGAACCGCACCGCATATGAGACCGCACTGTAATATGGACTAAGAATAATTGAATTGAAAATTTTGAATTCACTTTCTACACAGATAATTTGTAATTCTAACAAAAACAATATTTAAAATACTATCTAGTAATGGTTGAAAATGGAAACAAGTCTAGTACGTTTATGAATGTGGCTTAGTTTCTTTCTTTGATGTTTAACTTCAATAAACCTATTTGTTTTGCTAATGGTGATGTATTTTATTAATCAAAATTATGAGAATAAAAAGGGAAAAACAAAACAGTACAAATAAAAGCACCTGGTTAGTTTAATTCTAAACCAAAGCCGTGACATTGTATGCAGCTTATATTGAGTATTGACTACAATTAAATCGTACATGTTTTTCCAGTTCCCAAGTTACGGACGCTGCATCCAACAAAGCAGTGACGCTGCATCCAAATATGTGGTTTATGGTTTTGAACCGCAACGGTGCAATTTCAGATTAATCTGATCACGAACCGCAAACTGCTAAAAATTCAGAACACATATTAGACTGCAAGTCTTACGATGCGATTTGGCTCAAGTTATACTTATTTGATATTTTTTCTTCAGCAATGTGTGCTAATCCCTCAAAGAGATTTCACACAATGGGATCAGAAAGGAGGGCATAAGAAAGAACTTTTTTTAATAAGCATAGTACGGGGTTAATGCGTCACTCATATTCGTCTTTTCCTTAAAACATATAATAATTCATACGATCAATTGAATGTATAGGAGAAAAGTTCATGACCACAAGTTACGAGATTGCAATCTACTCGACTTGCAACCTACGTACGACATATGTGCATGAGTATTCGAAACTCTTGTTGAAAGGTTTTGTGTCATCTTGGTTTGTTAGGGCTTTAGCTAATCCACTTAGACTTGAACAGTTGAGCTTTTCTACATAATGAATCATATCATTAAACTTCTATACTGGTTTTACATATAAACAATTTTTCGATAGAATTATTGGTATGGTACGGTTTAGTAAACACTGCTCTATGTCTAAATTCTGATAAGTTAGTCTGTGAAGAACATGTCCAGTCAAAACAGGGGCGGAGGTTCTTTCAGCCCTTTGCTTGGTTGGTTCGCTTGTACCACTCCTTTTGTGGGCTTAGCCCAGTCGTATTAATGAACATCATCTTTCAAAAAAAAAAAAAAAAAAACTGTGGTGCTTCCTTGAGCGGCTCTGATCACCTTCGTTCTTATAGTAAAGAGTCAAATCGATCATCGGATCGGAATTGTTGGTTGATTCAACAACCCAACCCAAGTAATACTAACGTTGTTGTTACCTTTTGAACTCTATGTGATGTCACATGAGTCCAAAGAAAAAATTACTTAATTTGTCCAACACATTCTCTACCACAAGTGGATAGTTATAGCACATGAAGAAGAGGAAGAAACCACCGTTAAGAAGAAATACAAACAAAGCACCCAAGGTAAGCACAATCCTA